TTTTTTAAATATAATATAATGTATGCGTTTTCAACGGTTGTCAACTAAATAAATAAATAAAAATATTTGAGTAAAATCTAGAAAAACATTTTTTTAAAAAATTATTTGAAAAAAATATTATTATTATTTAAATTATACTTTTATTTTTTGTAAACACATTTTTTTAAAATATATAATTTTAAGTTTTGTTCTACTTTTTTAAAATTTCACAAAAAAAACTTTTTTCACAGTTTTTTTTTGTTATTAAGAAATTGTGAATTTTTTTTACAATACTTAAATTTATTTATTTTATAAAAAATATAAAAAACTATACTTTAAATAATAATAATAATAATTTTTCTGTTATTATTAATTTACTAATGATTTTTTTTATCAAGGGTTTACCCATGATTTTATTTGGCAACCCTATAAAAAACACAAATACAATATACATACAAATTACATACAAATTACATACAAATTACATACAGATATCTAAAATGTTTGTATAGTTTTTCCAATTAAATTCCCATTAAATTCCCTTTAAATTTCCATTAAATTCCCGCTAAATTCCCGCTAAATTCCCGCTAAATTCCCACTATATTTCCATTAAATTCAATCTAAATTCCCACTAACTTCCCAAATTAATTATCGTTAAATTATATAGAAAATACATACAGATATCTAAAATGTTTGTATAGTTTACGATCGGTTATATTTTTATATAATATATGACCGGAACTTCTATCTTGGTAAATTTCCCGGGAAATATGCAATCGATGATTACGATTTTGCATCAAAACACTAGGATTTCCATGACTTAACGATACAATCATCAATTGTTTTTGATATTTTTCCACATTATCTATTAGTTGCCGAAATTGATTGTTTAATAGGCTATTCATAGTTAGATCGCCTAATATATAGTTATTGTTCAATGATTTCGATTCTTTAGCTCTTTTTATTATTTGTCGTTCAATTGGTGTCGACTTATTCTAGAAATTATTGATAATAATAATAATAATAAATTAGTATATATATATAAATAAGTATATATATATATATAAATTATTATATATATATAAATTATTATATATATATAAATTAGTATATATATATAAATTAGTATATATATATAAATTAGTATATATATATAAATTAGTATTTATATATAAATTAGTATATATATAAATTATTATATATATATATATAAATTATTATATATATATATAAATTATTATATATATAAATTAATATTATATATATATATATATAAGTTAGTATATATATATATAAATTAGTATATATAAAAATTATTATTAAATACTATATATATAAAATAATTAAAATTATACCTGATAAACTTTTAAACCATTATATGACATAAATAAATAGATATCTAGATTACGATCGCTATTGAAAATATCTTCATATGAATCGATAGTTTCGTATGGATTTGTTAGATATATTGATAATATTTCCTGATTTAGTAAATTTAATGTAAAAAATTTCCCAATAAATAGTATACCAAAAACAATATAATAATATACAGACATATCTAGATTTAGATTAACTAAATAAATTTTTAAATATATATTTATATATTAATTTTTAATATAAAATAAATTTTAATTTTTTTCATAAAAATTAATATTTTATTTAAACATACAATCAGCTACTAAAGCATTATATACTGTCCATAATTGTAACCAAATTGTTGTTGTTTTTACATCAGAGCTATTCAACAACAACAACAACAAAAAAATAATAATAATATTAATTTAAAATGTAATAATATAATTATTTTAATTAAATGTACGATTTTAAAAAAAATATATAGTTACCTATTAATACCATTTTTACCATTCAAATTAATTTTATAATAAATTTTATTGATAATAGCAAAAATTATAATCGTCAACAAAATGCCCAACCAATACTATTTTTGGAAATTATAAATATATATATATATATATATATATATATTAATATATAATTTAAATAAAAATAATATAACAATTACAATATAGAACTTAATTTTTTTTATAAAATCTATCATCATGATTATTTATATAATTTTTATTAAAAATTTAACTTATTTTGTTTGTTTAAATAAAACAGTTAGTAATTAAATATGACTTTTATAAATATATTATTTTATCTTATAATAATATCTTATATTATTTTAATATATATATATATATATTAGTATATATTTATAAATTTGTATATATATAAATTAGTATATATATATATAAATTTGTATATATTTATAAATTTGTATATATTTATAAAAATTATAACTAGTTTATTTTATATACATATAGTATATGTATATATATATATATTCAATATATTAATATAATTATTAAATAAACAAACAAAATTAAATACTAAATATATATACTTTAAATAAAAAAAATATTATATCACAATTACAATATATTAAATTATCTTATATTATCTTAATATAAATTTATATATATATATATATATATATTTTAAATACTAAAAATAAAAAACATATTAAATACATAATTATCCAAAATATATGCAATGGCATCAAATTTATTAGTTTTATTTGATAAATATAAACTGCCAACAATTGCATAGTTTAACATTTTCAATGGCCATATAAAATAAAAATTTTCAATCAATTTATTATCCAATGTATTAGTATCAAGCAATATATCAACGTACTAATTATTTATATTAAAAAAAATAAAATTAATAGATTATTATTAAATTAAATAATTTTAATAATTTTAAATAGATAACTTACATTATTTATTGCATATTTTTGAGCCAGTTCATGTGAATTTAAATGATTACAATTTGAACAATTGATAAAATTATAATCAAGTTGTATAGGTATTGCACTAAAAAAAAGTTATTAATTATTTATTTTAAATTAATAAACAATTTTAATAAAAAATATTAATAATAAGTTTTAAATAAAACAAATTAAAATTATTAAAAGTAATTAATTAATTAAGTAAATATTTACCCATAATTACTAAGTCTAACCAATTCATAGACAATTTGAAAATATGGTCCACATATATAATTTAAATTATTACCAATTTTCTATTGTTTAATTAACAAAAAATAAAATAATAAAATAATATATATAATTTAAATTTTTTGAAAAATAAAATAATATTAATTAGTTATTTAAAAAAAAACTTAATTTTTAATATTTACAAATAAAATTGATGAAAATGTAAAATTGCCTAATTGTCTAACAAATTGATGATCAAATTGATATGGTCTAGGTTCATCAAATATATTATAATTACAAAAAAAATTTGGTGCCACTCTTTCGTACATTTTTTTAAAAAATAAAAAATTTATTTTTAAAAAATAATAATTATTTAATTAATATTTTTATAATAATTATTTAAGCAATTGGTTGTGTTATTAAAATTATATGTGTACTACTGATTGTTAAAATAATATTTTTTTTTTTAAATTATTAACTAACAAATGTTTGACAATAATTTTAATTTTAGGTTATCTATGTTACTCTATAAATATATATAATAAATAAATATATATATATATATACTGTATATAAATATATAATAGTACAGCTTAACACCAATTGTTTTTATTATTTTTTTAGTAAATAATTAAATATTTATTAATATTGAAAATAATTTATTTTGTTAATAATATACACATATTATTGTATTGTTTTTAATTCAAAATAAAAAAAACTTGATCTACTTGACAATACTATTAAAAATATATATATATATATAATATTTTACTAATTATTATTTTTCAATAATAAAAACATTTATTAATAATTAATTCAAATTTTTTTCTATTGTTTCCTTTGTAGAAAATAATTGATATTTTTTTCTTAACTAACAATAACTAACTTATTATATACATTATAAACTTTGTTTAAGATTAAAAAATCTAAAAAAATAATATTAGTTTAATTTATGATTATTTAAGTTTAATATAATTTTTATAKGAATATTCCAAATAATAATAATGGTAATAAATATAATAAAAATTAAAAATAAATAAATAATATATTTACAAAACTTAATATATATATATATATATATATATATTGTGTTTCATATGCCATTTATATATATTATTATTATAAGTTTTTTTCTGTAAAAAATTAAAATTTATATTTATTAATTAATTTAATATGTTTTTAATTTCTTAATTATTTTTTTTTTCATCTGTGTATATGTTTTATTGTTGCTATTGATTAACACATAGCAACAAATAAACAATAATATTGTTGAGATATTATTAATTTTATTATATAATAATAATAATATTAATACACTATTAATTTTTATATAAATTAGTTTTATATAAATAAATTTTATCGATTGAAATAGATTTCCTGGAAATAAAATTAAATAAATAAAACAATTTAGTATTAGATTTTATTTTTAATTAATATATTAACATAAATATTAAGATTAGATTTTTTTTAGATTTGAATCAATACTAAACATACAGTTATACATTATATTTAGTTATATTTTAAAAAAGAAATTATATAATAATCATTACAATTATAATTCAAGTTATTTTTTATTATAACAGTTATAACAAAAAATTTAAAAAAAACTATATTATATAATGTACAACAATATAAAATAATAATATTAATAACACATTGTAAATGTACTAGTACATATATTAATATATATATATATATTGATAATTACTATAGAGAGTCAGTTAGTTATTTAATATAATAATATAATAACAATTTTTATGGTATTATATTTATACAGTAATATACATTACGAAAAAAACATAAAAATGTTTTTATTTGTATACAAATATTACACTTATATATGATAATTAAAAAAACAAAAAAAAAATTATTTAAACAATTTATGTTTTTTTTTTTAAAAATGTGTTTAAATATTATAATTGAAAAACAGTTTTTATATGAATTATATACATATAAAATCAGATTTTATTAGTTATTATCAGATAATTAACTGTTATATATTTTTTTGTATTAATAAAAAATGGGTTGCAGTGTAACCAAAGTGGACATACATTTGGATCGGCCGGGTATTGACTACCGGCCCAACGATACCGTTAGTGGCCAGTGTTTAGTATATACTGATAGCCCGATATCGTTGTCGGAACTATCGGTCAAATTGAAAGGCGAAGCCCGATGCGAGTGGTCAGAGGACCGGCAGATTAGCGATGGCCAGGACTCGGATGGCCAACCGATTACTCGGACGGAAACTGTTTACTATACGGCCAACTATTTGTGTGTTAAGCTCAAGTATTATCCGGGAAACGGTATGTTTTTTTTTCTAAAATAAATATTTAATAAATACTTTTTTTTTTGCTAACTATAAAATCTATGGATAGTTAGTCAAAAATTAATTAATTGCTATATAATTATAATTATTTTTATTTAATTTTTTTTTTTAGTAAATCCATCGACACTAAGCCCGGGTCAGCATAACATTGGCTTTTCATTTCTATTGCCGGCCGGGTATTAAAAATTATTTATTATTTTTGTTATTTTAAGTATTATTATTATTATTATTATTAAGTATTATTGTTATTATTGTAATTTTATAATATATATATATAGTTTTCATAAACTAATTATAATAACTTTAAAGTATTTATTAATAATCTATTAAACAATAATAGTATTAAACATATTTTTTATTAAAAAAAATAATATTTATATAATCTATTTATTTACAAATTAATTATAATTATCTATTTTATTATGAACTTAATCATTCACTTTTTATATCGTCTATTATATTAAACAGTGGCCTTCCGTCAACATTTAAGGGCCAATACGGTTATATCGGGTACTGGATTGAGGCCCGTATCAGGAATCCCGACTGTTGTGGCAGTGATGGCCGGTCACGGGTACCCATAGTTGTCAACTCACCGGCACTATCGTCCATACAGGAGCTGTCGGTAAACTAAATATTTTTATAAAAAAACATATTAATTAAATGCTAATTAAATTTGTCATAAAATTTTAAGCAACCGGTAGTCAACAGTAACCAGAAAACTGTTGGCCTAATCAATGGTAAGCCATTGTTTATGAAATGCCAAATCGATAGTACGGGTCATACTATCGGTACAAACATTTCCATCCATTGTTTTATTGACAATCAATCGGATAAACCGATGACATTGAAAGCTCAGCTCCGACAGGACGTAACATACTATGCAACCGGTGATCAACGAAAATCTAGTGAGAAGTTGGCCCGATATGTTGGGCCGACTATCGGTCCCCGACAGCTGACTACCGAAACAATGAATTTGTTAGTACCGGTGACGGCACCGGTAGTACACAATACTTGTCCAATAATTCATGTAAAATACCTAATAGTGTTGACACTATGGATACCCGGTTCGTTTGATTTGCACTGTAAACTACCCGTTATACTAACCCAATGATATGATATACCAATCTATAGATACATTATTTTTAATTAATTTAAAAAAAAAAATGATATAAAATTAATTAATATTTTGATTATTTTAGTAATACTTTTAAATTGTCATTAAAAGTAAAAATAGATTATATATTTATTTTTTTGTTATTAAGTTTAGTTTATTATCTTAAAACTAATTTAAGTATTGTAATAAATATATAGTACACTAAAAAAAAATTTGACCCACACATCTAAAAATTTTTGTTTATAAAAATTCTAACTTTATTTTCATACTATTTTAGTGTTATTATGTTTTCAAAATATTCAAAATATATATATATAAAATAGTTAAAATCACGTTCAAACTCATTAAAAAAAATAAATAAAATTAATTTATTTAAAAATATTCAACTCTAAAATAATTAATTAAATAAAGTTAAAAAATAATATATAATAATAAATTAAAATAAAGAAACCATATTAGAAATTTAAATGAATAAAGTTAGTAAAACTAGTAAACTTAAAAAACATTAACCCATTTTATCCGCTTTACTTAACCTTGGTATGGTGTTTATTTAAAAAAAATAATGTATATCTAATAATTTTTAATAATTAAAATTTATTGGATATTTTTATTTAATATAGTTTATTGTCAAAAAAAAAATAATTTTTCATTGTTGTTCTATATTAATATTAAAGTGTATAATAAAATATAATAAAGTAAAAATATTATTAAATAGCAATAGCAATGTAGATTTTGTATTATAAAAAATATTTTTTAAAAATTTTAATCATTTAATCACATTTATAAAGTAATTTTCAATTATATATTATATTATATTAGAAATTATATATTTTCAACTATCATGCAGGTATATTTTGAATTATTTCAATATCAATAGTATAAAACCGATGACATTGAAAATGAAAATATAATTTAGTAATTATGCAATAAATTTATTATCCGAAAAATATAAATATTTGAATTGTTCAGACGTTTTTTTTTTTTATTAATTAAAGTTTTTAATATTTTTTATTAGTCGTAATAGCTGTGTAAATAGTTAGTTGAATTATAGCCTACGATAGAAAAAAATAGATAATAAATATTATAAACTTAACTTTAGACATATGAGATATAAAATGATCTATCAGTATGACTAACTATAGCAAAATAAAGACAACTTTATTCATATAGCGTTAAAAATAAGAAATAAATTATATTTACAATAAATACAATACAATTAAATTTTTAAACTAATTCTATATAATTTATTTTTAATGCTTTATTAAAATCTAAAAATTTAAACATTTAATTTGAAATTTTTTATTTTGGTCGCCATTTTGTATATGTTTATAAAACCATAAAATTTTTAATATTAATTTATTATCTTATTTTTGTTTTATTAAAATTTTTTCAAATTGTTTCTGTATTTTGAACGCCATTTTCTTTATAGTTTCTATATAAAAATCAAAATATTAATGTTAATTTTATATACCTTATTTTTGTTGTTTAATACAAACTTGGTAAAATTTAAAAAATACATAGAATTAATATATATAGTCTATAAGGAGTTTCTTAAAATGTCAAATTAAATAAATATATTATTATTTAATAATAAAAATTAATTAGTTATTTATGTTTAATATAGTTTATTATAAAAACTAATTTATGATTTAATTTTTTAATTGTCATTATAAATAATGTTATAAATAAAATATAATAAAAAATAAATATAATAAAATAAATATATTGTTAAATAAATAGAACTGTTGATTGTATATTAATTTTTTTTTGATTCATTATATTTTATTTTTAATCATTTAATATAATTTATAAAGTAATTTTTAATTTTAAAGAATTAAATTTTATATTAATCAACAATCATAAAGGTAGATAATGAATTATTAAAAAAAATATTTATAACTATTTATGAAATAATATTTATTATCAAAAATATAAATATTTTTGTTGTCAGGCGTTTCTTATCAAATATATTAAAAACATTTAAAAAAATTTTGTTTATATTATTGTAGACATGAAAAACATTATCAGAGTTTATTAGAGTTGTAAAAATGATAAATTTTTTTTTTAATTTTTGATCCATAATCCGGTATAATTACACAATTTATATTATACAAAGATTTTTGTTTCTCTCAACATTAGCTATTAATAATTATTTATAAATTTATTTATAAATAATAGAAATGTTACTTTTTTTTTGTAAACTAAATATTTGTTATTAGATTGAAACTGAGATAATGATTTGATGAGCTGTGTAAATGATTAGCAAATTTATTGTAACAATTATTTTATTTAAAAAAAAAAACATGATAAAAAATTAGTTGGACGGTTATGTTGATGTTACTATAGATGCCAAACATTATACTAACCAAAAATAATATATATATTAATCATGAATAAGATGTTATTAATGCAAACAAGTACTATAGTAGAAAAAGCCCAGTAACTCAGGGAGCCTAGGATTGGACTCACAATCGAAGGGTTGTGGGTTCGAGCCCAGGGTTGCTTCGATTAAGGCGTCGATTGCATTAAATTCTCTTTAAAAAATACATTAGCCTATAGTAGTAATATATCGGGCCTTCAATGAATATCAGTTTTAATAACTGAATGAGGTGCCATTAACGATTTATTATTATTATTATTATTATTATTATTATTATATACCGGTATTTAATATTTCTAATAAATAAAAAACTAAATTAAATTGTTTGATTTTTTGTATTGTTATTTTTTTACTAAAACTAATAAATTAAAGTAACAGGTAGTAAACAGTAACCAAAAAAAAAAAAAAAAAATGTTCGCCTATTCAATGGTCAACTATTGTGTATAAATAGTACAATCGATAAAAACGGGTCATATTATTGGAACGAATAACTATCGATACATTTGGTCAGATATGTATGGATTCGACTAACAGTTCCCGACATCGGACTACCGAAACAATGAATTTGTTTGCACCCACAGTCGGGGGTACTCGTACTACACAATACTTGTCCAATAATTCATGTAAAATATCAAAGGCGTCGTTCACATATTACGTTCGCACTTTTTAAGAAATCTAGACCCCCTCCCTCCCCTATGTTCGCAAATTGTTCGCATGTAGTCATTTTAAAAAAATTACGTTCGCTTATCCCTAACCGCTACCCCCCCCCCCCCACCACAAGAAATAAGATATTATCTAAATGCGAACGTTCTTAAAGTCTCTACCCCTCCCCTCCCCTCGTTCACAAAAGTTCGCTTTGGCTAACCCCCCCTCCCCTCAAGTGCGAACGTAATATGTGAACAACGCCAAATAGTGTTGACCCTATAGATACCCGGTTTGTTTAATTTCCAGTTAATCAGTTTAATCAGTTATAATAACCCAAATGATAAAATTCCAATCTATTAATATATTTTTGTTTTAATTTTTTGATTTTAATAATTAGTAAATCAGTAAAAAAATAGATTATATTTTTTTGTGTTAAAAATTTAGTTTATTATCAAAATATTAATATATAAATATATAATACAATCAAGTTTAGTAAACTAATTATTTGAATTATAACTAAATATATTTAACTATTTATGCAATTAATATATATATATTTATAATAGATTCAAGGTGTAATGGAGGTACCATATAGGAGGAGGAGGAGGTCTATAGAGTTTGTCGGGAACCGAGAATAGGGCAACGTTTTGCTAGATTACCGATAGACGAGTGTGTATAGACCCAGTAGTCTATACCGGACTCAAACATGTTTGTCATAATTGGCTACTTGTCCCTAACAGTTCATCAGTCAATCATATGTCAGCCAATATGTCAATCTATGCCATCATTATTATTAATTTATACTTACAGTAGATTATTAATAATATTAAATATAATTATTATTTTTTTTATAATTTTAAAAATATACATCTATAACATATTCTTTTTTTTTAAAGTTAAGACTTTGAATTTTTAAGTTATTTATTTATATAGTAATATTATACCATAAAATTTATAATTATATTGTACATTTCTAATTAATATTTAATTATTTTTAATGACATTTTAATGTGATAATTTAAAAATTTTTAGAATAACATTATATAAATTAACATTATAGTTGAATATATCTAATCAGTAAATATTTAAAAAAAAATTTTTATATAATATTATATAATTTTTATTATAATTATTGCATATATTATTTGACTATTTATGCAATAACTTTATGTAAGGGGCGGTTACTGTAAATTAAAATAAAAAACATTAATTAACTATTATCTATAAGCAGTTTATGTTTACTTATTTGTTTATCATTAAAAACATTAACATTTAAAAAATTAATTAATAAAATGTAAAAAATTAAATATATTAAACTAAATATTTAAATATATATAACATAAATAATATATATATATAATATGATTTATGTTATTAAATAATTTAATAAATTATGTTAAAACAGGAAATAAAACATTTAATCTATATTGTTATCTAATATATATTATATATATATATATCATTTAACACATAATATTTATATTATATAGATTAATATTCTATAATAAACCAGGTTAAGTAAGGGGGTAGGAGGTAAGGCCAAAATATCCCCCCTAAGATCGAGAAATTTTACTTACCCAGACTTTTTGACCAAATTGGAAAAATTGTCGCTTAAAAACGACGAGAAATGAGCCCCCCCTAAAATTTCGGCGCCGAAAGCGCATAATTTTTTTTTTGAAATTTATAAAAATTTTAATTTTTATTTGATATTATTTTAGTAAGTGTTTTTATGTTTTATAATATTTATAAGTATCTAATTATTTGATTAAAAATAAGTAAAAAAAAAAAAGTTAAAATAACTAATAAAACTCAACTAAAAAATTACATAATTTTAATTAAAATATTAAACTAAAAAAGTAAAAATTTATCTTTTGTTGAAAAGATTAATTATATTCCAATTTAAATATAAGTTTAAGATAGTTTAACAAGTTAATAAAACAATAAATGCTTATATTACAAGGTTTTTAATAATAATTTCAATTTTATAATTAGTATTCAGTGAGTATTTATATAAAAATAACATTACAAAAATAAAAATATATATCTATAAACTATAAACATTCTGTATTATTTAAAAAATTAATTATTTGAAAAGTTAAAAATTACTAAAATACTAAAAAAACTCATAGTGTATCATTAATCCCTTTATCAACTATTTTTAAGTATTAAATACATTATTTTTATTTTTTGTTAAAATTTAAGTTTTTTTTGTATTTTTGGAAAAATTGCCGTTTAAAAATGCAATAAAAATCTTACCCCCCCAAGACTTTTCGAGAATTTTGTAAATTTTACCCCTGTTTACCCCACCCATCTAAAATCCAAAACCTTGCTTAACCCTGATAATAAACAGTATAATTGTATATATCTAATCAGTAAATATTTATAAAATATTATATTATAATAGATATTAATACTGTATAATTTTTATTATAATTATTGCAAATTTTATTTGATTATATATGCAATAATAATAATTATGTAAAGGGGCGGTTACTGTTAATTAAAACAAAAATATTAATTATTATTTATAATCAGTTAATGTTGACTTAATGTTTCTTAACATTAACAACATTAACATACAAATTATTTTTAAAAAATAATAATTAAAAGTAAAAAATTGATTTTATTTATTTATTATACAGTGTATATTAAACTAAATATATAAATATTTGAAATTTTTATTTTATAATTAATTAATTAATAATAATAATGTTATCATTTTTGAAAACTAAAAATAAGACAAAACAAAATGCTAACAACAAAATGGCGTCGACTACTACTACTACTACTAATAATAATAATACAAAATTTAAACTTGGTATCTATTGGGACATTGAAAATTGTCCAGTACCTGGATCAAAATCACCATCATCGGTAGTCAAATCGATTCGACAATTTATCAAGGTAACTTACCCTGAATACGGTTATCCCAGTGAATTTCTAAGCGCGTGCGATGCACGTAAACTAGACAAACACGTATCCGATGGTTTGAATCTAATGGGCGTAACCATTGTACACGTTGATAGTCTAGCAAAAAATGCTGCTGATGATAAATTGAAAATTTCAATTGATAAATTTATTGATCAATCCAATGATAATGATGATCATCATCATGGTAATTTATTGGTTATTATAACTGGTGATATTAATTTTTCCAATTGTATACAACGTGCCCTAACTAAGCAATTAAGGGTAGTTGTCTTATATGGATCGGGTAGTTATTCCCAGAGTCTAATTGATTTGGTTGACGAATCCTATTGTTACGATAAGGTTATACAGTCGGCCGATCCGATTGATAGGAAAATGGTGGCAAAAAAATTGAATAAAGGTTTTTATGGATTTATTTATTTGTTGTCTTATTTTTTAATTAATTAAATTAATTAATTATATTTTTTTTGTTTTATTATTTTTATTTTTTATTTTAATGCTTACGTGTCATATTAAACATGTTTAATTTATAATAAAATCAATTATGTTTAATCTATAAAAACAAAATATATATCACTTATATTAGACACCCACACAAGCATACATACACACACACACATACAAAAACACATACAAAAATACATACAAAAATACATACAAAAACACATGCATACATACATATATATATATACATACACTTACACACACACATATATATATACACATAAATACACACACATATACACATTGATTAACTTAATTAGTCGTAATATTTTAAATTAATAATGATTCAAAATTTATGTTTATTAATATACAAAAAAAAATTTAGATAAAATAATTTTAGTTTTAATTATTTGTGTTTTAAAAGCCTATCTGAGAGTTACTAATCTGCCGGACGATAGACAGGAACGGGAGATATTTGGTCGTCTATCGCAATTGGTTAGCAACTGTGGCGGTAAGCCTACAAAATATGGGAACGGTAGGGCATGGATCAGGTTTGCCTGCAAACAGGATGCGGAACGGGCTATACAACGATGCAATGGTGAAGATTGTTTCGGTAGGAAAATCAATGTCCAACTAATGGATAACAATTCAAACGACAATTCAAATCATAATAAGACTACTAATAATAATAATCAAGAAAAATATGAGACAAACAAATCGATAATCACTGGACTATCAGTTAGTAATGATAACAATTGTGTCGATGATATGGTCCGCAAAATGGTTACCGATTGGGACGACCAGAAACTGGACCCGAATTCACTAATAGTTAGTACATTAGTCCAGGAAAACGGTAGTCTAATAGTAACGGCCAGTAGTGTTGACAGTAATAATCGGTTGATAGCCGGAGCTAAACGTTATCTATTAAAACAAGATAAGAGTAAACCCAAGATTTCGTGGCTACCGTTCCGCGAATCGGATAAACCAAGCGATTTGAAGGCATTTATCAGAGGTTTGTACACCAAAAACGATGATAACTGTACCGAAATTGTGAGGAAAATAGTTGACGACTGGGCCGACAATCAGGTGACCCGAGATTATGTTACGGCTGTTATCAGGACAGCCAAAGCGGACGGTCGGATCAAACTGTTGGTTACAACCGATAGCCGCCAGCGTAGGGATGACCTGCTAGAGGCCAGTAGTCGTCATCCCGTCACAGGTATCGAATGGATAGAGTGTTCGCCGGAACATAAAAAATGGTCCGACGATTGCAAATCGGTTATCAGTGGTCTGGAAACCACCAGTGACTGCGATCCGCTAGAAGTGGTCAGACAGTTGGTCACCGATTGGTCTGATAGTTCACTCGATGGCCAGGATTTGGTACGGCTTGTCAGCCGTGACGGTAATTTCCGCGGTCGCGATGGCCGAGCGCTGCTGTTTGTTACGGCCAGCAGTCGCGAGGCCAATCAGGCACTGGTCAACGGTGCCCGAAAATATTGGTCAGCCGATAGCTGTCGCAAGTGGTCGCTATATAACCGAAAATAATTGATCCAAAAAAAACTAATAATAAGTAATAATATTGTTGTAAATATTTTTTTTAAATATATATTTTTAATAATCATATATTGAATATATTTAATCGGATTAATTAATAATTATGTTTTAAGTTTTAATTTACTTTTAAATTTTAATTAGAATTTAAATTTAATTTTTACTTTGAATTTTACTTTTAATCTTACTATTAATTTTTAATTATAATTTTTTACTTAACTAAATATAAATTTAAAATTTATAAATATTTAATCAGATTTTTTTTTTTGAAATAACTAATATTATTTTAATCTATTATTTTATATTATTTTTGAACATTTTAATTATTTTGTTTTAATTAATTAGCAAAAACATTAACCTAAAAACACAACGACAAAAACAATTATTTATGAGAAAAATAAACTAGCTTTGAAAATAAAAAACTAAAAAAAAGTAAAAATTAAAATTTTCAAAGCTAATTTTTTTTCCTGGTGTCCTATCTTATCGGTGATGTAATACACTATGGTAGGGAGGGGGGTTAGTTTGCGGTCAATGGGGGGTCAATCTTTATCTTTAAGGGGTAGTTCCCTGTTGATGGCCCAGTAATTATCGTGTGGTCAGTCATATACTGTATATACCGATAGCTGTAATAAACAACAACAACAATGGAAAAAAAATAATTAGCAAGGTTAATTAACAAACAAACAAACAAATTTTTTATATTGCACCCATCCAAATAATGGACAGTCATATTTTTTGTTTGTTTGTTTATTATGCTTGCTAATTTTATTGTTGTTATTAGTATTATTATTATTAATTAAAACTAATTGGACATATACTGAGACTAACCACACGATAATATTTGAGGGGTAGGTCATAACCAGGGACCTACCACCCCCCCCGTGTGAGATAAGGATAAACCGCCCCCATTGACCGCAAACTAACCCCCCTCCGTAGTGTATCACAGATCACCGATAAGATAGGACATAAAAATAAATGATAAATTAAATAAATAAAAAAAACTAACTATAAATTGTTAATGTTTTTTGAATGATTAATGTAATAATAATTTTTTTTAAATGATTTAATAATTTTTAAATAATTTAAATTTTATATTAATAAATATTATATATTTTTTGCCAAACAAATTGATATTTACAACAATAAAAACTAATTATTAAATAATTAATAAATTGTTTATTTTATTTTTATTTTTATTTTTACATTTTTAATTAAATTTATTATATACTTGTAAATATAACGAAAAAATATGTACAATTCATCAAGGTTAGTTATCAATGTAAATAACATCACTATAGATAACAATATATTTATATATATTATTAAAACATTAATTAAATAGTGTAGAATTTTTTTTAATTAAAAATAATCTATTAGAGATTTTAATTTTATTTTTTACAAATATAAAAATTTTCATATATTATTATTATAATAATAATAATAATTTTCTATTTATTATTATTATTATAAATATACTAATCAATATATTAAGTTAAAATTTTTATTTACTTATAGATATTTTTATTATTATTATTATTATATAACATCTAATAATATAACATCTAATATAACATATTTTTATTGTTAAAATTACTAACAAACAAATAGATATATAAATACAGGTATTTATAAACAAAAAAAAATATTTATTATTTTTTTAAAATAATAAAATTATAACGAAAAATTTGGGCTCAATATTGAATAGATTTTCTCATAATTTACGGGAACTATACGTTTGCGGAACAGTAGCCGACATTCCTCGTGCTTATCCAGTCCTAACTGTTCGGCTAATTCAATGGCCATCGGATTTGTATGAAGTGTATAGTAATAAAAGCTCTGGTTTTTTGTTTGTAAAACATTACTACTATCACTACTACTACTACCGGTGCTATCATCGCGGACTACCAGTGCCGACAACAAACGTTTGGCCACTTGAGGACTATCGGCGTACAATGGACTCAGGGTTGTTGCACCTGAACTATGAACTCGTAGACATCCATAACCCATGACTTGTTTGTTATTGTTGTCCACAGCAACCGCCCGACGACAACCCGATTCCCTCAACGATAGACCCAGTAGTCTATCACGACTTAGACCGTGAATATGTCGGTCATAATCGACTATTTGTCGATCGATCAGATCGTCGGTCAACTGTGTTAGCACATGTATGCCATCATCACTATCAGCATCGGTACTACATTGTCGGACATTGGCTACCGTTCCCGTATAGATAACCATTGTCTGGTCGCTGACTACACGAAACCCCAGCCGATCTCTGTAGAGACCGAGTTTGTCGGGAACCGAAAATAGGGCAACATTTTGCTGGTTACCGATATACGATAGGACAATGTGAAACAATTTCTGGCCAATACGGCGACCCGAGTATCGCTGGTCGACAGCGTACAGACCGATAAACGCCAGGTCTGGCCGAAGCATTGGTCCGCCGCAGACACCGATAACTTCTTCTGTGAAAATAAATAAATAAATATTTTTATAATTAATGATATGTTTTATATAAATAAATAATATTATATAATAATATTAATTTAATTATATAAATATTATTTAAATAATTTTTTATTTTTTGATTATTTATAATTTATAACAAAAACAAATAATATATTGTATATTAATAGTTAAATATATTAAATTTTATATAAAAAAAAATTATTTATTATAATTATTATTAATATTAATATATAAAATATAATAAAACAATTATTTAGTTGTTTTTAATTGTGATAAATAGTAATAAATATATGATAGTAATTATATTTACTATTTAACAAAAATTATTATTATTAGTTAACATTTTGCAAATAATAAAAATAATATTATTAATTAATTAAAATAACTGATAAACTATTAAATAAAATTAATATTTTTTTTAATTAAATCATAATAATAATAATAATAATTATACAGTAATTATTAGATAATAATTATTAAAATATATATATATTTATAACACCAAACTTACTGGTAATGTCATCGATGGCCACATAAAACCCGTTACCGTCAATCTTCAGATAGGTTTCTACCGAATAGTTGGCCTCAAACAGTCCGTGACTGGCAAATACCCGCAAAGCACCGGCAATGTGGTCAGTGGTCATCTGACGTATACTAAAATCATTGTCACATTTATCTGAAACAGTATTGTCGGCCATTTTTTTTATGTCTGTCTCTCTTTCTAGGGTTTCATTGAATTTAAATATATAAATGATTTAAATAATAATAATAGTAATAATAATAATAGACAGGTATCTCATAATAATAATAATAATAATAATAATGTCTAGTATTTTTGAGTATTATTATTATTTTGAGCATCACATAGGATAGGTATGTATGAGTCGACTCCCCTCCTCCTCCTCCTACTCCTCAACAATATGTCACTAAAAAAGCGATCAATAATTTTGATTTCAAATAATTACATAAAGGATACAAAAATAGTATAGTTATATATATATAATAACTTTTAAAAATAAACAATTTTTTAATTATTTAGTTATTTATTATTAATATATATATATATAAATATTACTTATTTTTTTGAAATATCAATTATACAGAATATTTTTGTTTTCAAAAATGTTTTTTAATGCAATTTATTAGTTGATTTTATTTTAATTAAAACAAACAAATGTTTAAATTAAAATTTAATAGTTTTAATGTATTATTATTATTATTATTAAATATCAGTCAACTTAATTAACTAGCTTACTATTTAACACTTACTATTAAATAATATTAAATGTCCAAGTTCAAAATAATGATGATGATGATAACGGTACTAATATTAAAAAATGTTAAAATTAAAATCAATAATTGACACTGAGCAATTTTTCATCACACACAATAAGTCATATATATAATGATTTAAAAGTTGAATAAATTATTTAAAATAATCAAATTATTATTATTATTATTGATAATAATGTAAATGAAAAATAAAATTATTAATTAATTAATTAATTTGTTTAAATAACTTTTAACAGTTAATTAGATTTAATAATACATTTAATACATAAACAATTTAAATAAAAACTTTATTTTCAATACATTGAAAATCCAAATAATAATAATAATAACTGTTTTTTTTGTGTGTAATTAATTAAACAAATTAAATAAAACTATGGTTAGTATTAAATTATAATTGATTTTTAAATATTAATTAAACTATTAGCAATTAAATTAATTTTTTTAATAATAATAATAACAATTACATTAATTTTTTAATAATAATAATTACATTAATTTTTTTAATAATAATAATAATAATTACATTAATTTTTTTAATAATAATAATAATAATTACAATAACTTTTTTACATTCACTAAGACTGGAGACACCAATACTGTCGCTAATGGGACGGCCAGTCAGCCGTCGGCAGCGGCGGCGGCGGCGGCTTCGGCGTCGGTGTCGGCGACCCTAATGAGGACATCGGCGGAGAAACTAAAATATCCGGAAATGGATTACTTTATGAACGAATGGGACAGCGATGTACTGTTCATTATCGGCGACCAACGGGTGCCGGCCATCAAACATATACTCAGCTTCAAAAGCCCAGTATTTCGGGCCATGTTTTCGGAAAATTTTCGTGAATACAGGGAACAGGAGATCGTCTTAGAAGACACTACTGGCGATGCTTTTCGTGTAATGATTACCTATTTGTATAGCGAACGTCTGGTACTGATGCCCGACCCCGAGGACATGGATCTCATCCAACAAGTACTCCGATTGGCCGATAAATATCAACTGTTACGGCTGATGGACGCTTGCGGCCGTCATCTCCGATCGCGTATAACTCGGGCCAATGTCGAACAGATTGCCCGATTCGGCTACGAGTATGGATTAGCTGATGAATTGATACCCGAAGTCAAACGTTTTTTGAATGAAAATTTCGGTTATTTTATGTCCGGTACGGCCACTGTTGGCCAGTCGTCGTTGAACAGGTTGAACGATATTATGCGTAACGACTTACTTGAACTGGTTGTCAATAATTGGCGTAAAACTAGAGATTATCTAAGGAATAGGATACCCGATAATACCGGTTTGGTTGGTGCTGGCGGTGTGGTTGACCCGCCCCGTGCTATACAACTAAATGGCTGTCACTATACCTACCAGTCTGGTCAGTATAAACGGGAACTGGATTTCAATAATATGAACTAATTGTGTGTTTGTTTTTTTTTTGTTGATATAATAATAATAATAATAATTGTCATAAAAATTAATATTTGATTTTTGTTTTGTTGAAAAAAAATTTATTTGATTTAAACATTTTGCATAACATTTCATCAAAAAAAAATTATTTATAAATTCAATTCAATTTTTTGTTTTTTGAAAAAAATATTTGATATTTTGCATAACATTTCATTTTAAAAAAAATTTATCTATAAATTCAATTCAATTTTTTGTTTATTTATTTTTTTTATAAAAAAACATTATTTTTTGTTTTGTTTTCATATTTAATTTCATTATCAAATTTTGGTTGTAATTATAAAAATCAACAAAAAATATTATTCAAAACTTATTTCATAAATATATATATATAATTTGATATTAATAAACATTTTACTAATAATTCAAAACATATTTTATTATTATTTTCTCTATAAAAAAAACTTTTTAATTATTAATTTTAAAAAAATAAATATGATAGTTATCAAAACAATTATATTTATCAAGTAAATTTTTCTTTTAAAAAATAAAATTAATTAATTTAATTAAATATTTATTATCTTTTACAATATTACTATTATTAGATAGTATACCATTTATATATTTATTATAATGTATACAAGTTTTTATTATTTATAACAATTAATAATATTAAAGTAGTATTTATCAATAATAATAATAATAATTGTTGCCTAGTTTTATTGCAATCAATTATATATAAATATATATATATATGTACTAGTATATTTAATCAATTATGATATGCAATAGTGTACATTAATAATTTTATCATTGATTTTTTAGTGTGTAATATAATAAATATATATATATACAGTATATATATATATATATAATGTATACGTTTATATACTGATTAATTGAAATAAATAATGCATTACTAAAACAATATTGTTAATTTTTTATTTAATTAGTAAACATATATACTAGACTTTATTTTTAATTTTTTTGTTGTTTAAAAAAATATTTGTAAAAATTGTAAAATTATTAAAATATGTTTTTTTTGTTGTTGAAATTGATGTTTTATTGAATAAGTTATTTAATTATAAAACAGTAATAATATTACTAATAAAATAACATAATATTAAATATATATATAAGGTTTTATATATCGATAGGGGATATACCTTATAAATACCATAAATAAATTATATACAGTATGTTATTAATAGTATAACTATTTTTTTTATTGTGTCCTTCAAACTGAAAATACAGTACAAACTAGTAATGTATTGTATTGCTGTATATTATTATTAACTAATTACTGTGTAATAAATAAATACACATTTTATTATATAAATATATACAGTATATGATTGATATATATATATATATATATATACTGACAAAATGGGTGGCAATACTAGCAAATGTTTGATAACATTGGACCGGCCGGGAGTGGCCTACAGGCCTAACGACATTATTAGCGGTCAATGTGTACTACAAACGGAAAAACCGGTACCACTTAGTCAACTGTCCGTTTCGTTGCGGGGCGAAGCCCGATGCCAGTGGACAGAGCAGCAACAAGTTCACGGTAGAGATGCTCAGGGTCGGCCTCATAATCGGTCGGAAACTGTACATTATAGGTCAGATCATCCGTGTGTCAAACTCAAGTACTATCCCGGGAATGGTATGTATGTGTGTGTGTGTGTGTGTGTATGTGTGTATTTGTGTGTGTATGTGTGTATTTGTGTGTGTGTGTGTGTGTGTGTGTGTGTGTGTGTGTGTGTGTGTGTGTGTGTGTGTGTTTGTATGTATGTATGCAGTAATGTTGTTGTTTTAAAAACTTTTATTTATTTATTTATTTTTTTTGTAAATTATCTCAAAACAAAACCAGTCTATCCATCGACACTAAGCCCGGGTCAGCACAATATTGGTTTTAATTTTCAACTGCCGTCCGGGTATTTTGACATTACATTTAACATAACAATTAAATTTTTATTATTATTTTAATAAGTATTTAAATAAATAATGATTTATATATATATATATATTAGTATAAATAGTAATTAAAATTTTTATTTAAAAAAAATATTTTATATAAATAATTTATGATAATAATTTTTTATTATAATATATATATATTTAATTATTATATTAATATTATTATATATCTCATTACACACAGTGGCCTGCCGTCAACATTTGAAGGACAGTACGGTCATATCAGGTACTGGATTGAGGCTCATCTACATAAGCCGGGCGTGTTTAACATTGACGACAGGGCACGGGTGCCCATAATTGTCAACTCGCCAGCCCTGTCATCCATACAGGAGCTATCGGTAAGACATAAATATCATACAAATCTATTGAAAACTTAATCATGTGTTTTGTATACCTTGAATAGCAACGGGTGTTCAACAGTAACAGCAAAACTGTTGGCCTAATCAATGGCCAACCATTGGTATTACGCTGTGAACTGCCGTCTATGGGACACAATGTCGGCTCGGAGATACCTGTCCAGTGTTTCATTGATAACGGTAGCGATAAACCGATGATTTTGAGAGCAGCCCTGAAACAGGAGTCGACTTTCTATGCCCGGGGATGTCAACGGAAAACCAGTGTAAAGATTGCCCGTTATATCGGTCCGAATGTCGGTCCACGTGAGAAAACTAGCCAACTATTGCCATTGATTATACCGTTGACGGCACCGGTAGTCCAGAATACTTGTCCAATCATTCATCTAAACTATACAGTAGTGGTTACACTTGAAATTCCCGGTTCGTTTGACTTGCACTGTGAACTACCGGTTATACTGACCCATGATATGCAAGTCTATCCAAATTAATACAATAAAAAAAATTAATTATTAATAATAATTATAATAATAATAGTTATTATTGTGTGTGATATCTATTTTTCATTAAAGTATTATTTAGTTTTATTAATAATTTTTTTATTAACAATAATATATAAGTATTTAAAAAAAATTTACAAATATATTGTAATAATGAAATTATTTATATATTTTTTTTGTATAATAATAATAATATATATTATAATAACTTTTTTGTTGTTGTTATATTATATTCAAGTATATTGTATATTATATAAATAAATAAATATTCATAAAAATAAATGTAATTAATATATATATATTTTTTGTATTTTATTAAATAAATAAATATTATAATTAAAAATCTAAACTTAATAAACTTTAAATACTTTATATTATTTTTTTGAATAGTTTATTACACTTTGTATTTGTAATATTTTTGTTGCAATTATATAATAATCTAAACAAAAAAGTAATTAAACAAAAAAAAGTTTTCATACTTTTTTATTAATTATTTTTTCCCATTATATCTTATATACAGTAATAACAACAACAACATAAAAATATTACACATATAAAGTGTAATAAACTATTTACAGACAACAACAAAAAAAACTATTTTTGTATTCAAATTGCTAGAGATATTGTCTAAAAAAATAAATAAATAAATGACTTTTAATATTAAAATAATCAATATATACAACATATACGGTATATAAATACAGTATATATATATATATAACTAATGTTTCTCTAGTAAAAAAGTATTGCAAATAATAATAATAATAATAATAATAAACAAATATATATTTATATAATTAAATAGTATATTACCATGGTAAAATTTCAACAGCAACAAAAATTAAAAACGCGCATGCTAACTTTATTTTTTATATATACTGTATAACTTAATATAATAACAAAATATTTAGCAGGTTAATTTAGGTTAAATATACTGTATATATATATATATACAGTATATGCTACTTATTTTGTTAGTATTAATTATACTAATAGTTATTAATATTTATTATTGATATTTACAGTACTTGTAATGTAAATTAATTTAATATAAAAAAAAGTAATAATAATAATAAACTAAAACAAAGCGATTCTTATATATTTGAAAATTATTAATATATTATATATATATATATATATAATCTAAATGAATGTCTTATTACAACAAAAAAAATCAATTATTATAATTATTATTATTTATTAAATACAATAGTCATGTAAATCAGTTAATATCTTATAACAACAACAAAACAAAATATTAACGTAAATTAAAATCTATTTTCATTAATATTAATATTATTATTATGAAAAACTTTAAGTATTGTTTTTTTTAAAAAGTTATTTTCATATTAGTATATTAGTATATTGAATGCAATGATAACAACAACAACATATAACACACACAATTGGTACACAATTGTCATTTAGTCGTTAAAATATCATTTTATAATTTTTTTTATTAAATAAACTTTTCAATAAAAAATTAATAGATAGGATATATATATATATAAATAATTTATATATATATAATAAAATAGATGATGATTAACGCTTTATGTACTGTTAATATACCTGTAATATACCTGTTAAATAAAATTACAGTATTAATAATATACATGTAGTTTATAACTAATGTTTAATAATAATAATAATAATAATTGTGTGGGTGTTTGAGTGTTAAAAAAAACTAAACTAAATAATATTAATGTCAATTGACTTGAATATAAAATTTGCATATAAAAATTGTTATTGTTAACTAACTAACTAACTAACTAAATATAACTAAATTAATAATAATAATAATATTTAAATAAATTATATATATATTAAGTAATTTGTTGTATATTTTTCAATACATATTATAATTGCATTATAATTGCATTAACAATAATATTGTTTTTTGGTGATTAAAAAATTTAAATAATTAATTTATCAAAAAAAAAATTAAAAAAAATTTTTTTTTTAAAAAAGTACTTAACTGGGGGACAGTCGTATATTTGCATATACACACCAAATGGGCAATACTATTACCAAATGTATTATCAATTTGGATCGGCCGGGTGTGGCCTTCCGACCCAACGATCTAATCAGCGGCTACTGTCTGATCGAAACCAATCAGCCAATACTGGTCAGCCAGTTATCGATTAAGTTGAAAGGTCAGGCCGAATGTCAATGGTCAGAGTCTCAAACTCAACTAACCTCCCGAAACAAATCAGATATACAGCACCGGATGTATCTGTCGTGTGTCGACCTCAAGTATTATCCCGGCACTAGTATGTTGTTGTTGTTGATTATGCAATAATTTTTAATTAATTAATTTGTTTTTTATTTGTTTTATGTGTGTCTATACTATTCAAGTATATCCGATAACTTTAAGCCCGGGTCAGCATATTATAGGATTTAATTTTCAGCTACCGTCCGGGTATTTATTATTATTATCTGAAAAACAAATTATATTATCTATTAACTTAGTATTATTAATATTTAATAATAATAATACTAATAATAATTATTATTATCTGAAAGAAATTATATTAGCTATTAATTTATTATTGTTTAGTTATTATTATTATTAATTAATTTATTATTATTTAATTATTTTTATTTAATTATTATTATTTAATTATTTTTATTTAATTATTATTATTAATAATTAATTAATCAAATAGTATTAGTGTATAATTTAAAAATCACAATTAAATTTTTATTAATTATTAATATTATTTGTATATTTTTCAGTTTTATTTTATATAACATTATTATATTGTTTAATATTATTAATTATTAGTATTAGTAGTAATAGTAAAAAACCTTTATTAATTAAATATTAGATTTTAATTATATATTTAATGTCTATATATATATATATATACCATTACATACCATATATACATACCATTACACCCACCCCACCCCGCACTAGTGGCCTGCCGTCGACATTCAAAGGCCAATACGGTTACATTAGGTACTGGATTGAGGCTAATCTACGCAATCCCGATGGCCTGGACAACAATCCATGGATACCCGTACACATTATGTCGCCGGCACTGGTATCCATACAGGAGCTAACAGTAGGGCATATGCCTAACAGCAGTATCTGATCTTTCAATAAAAACATACATTTTATAGCAAAGAAGTTTCGATAGCCAACGTCGGACAGTCAGGTCGGCTAAAGGCCAGTACTCAGTAGTTTGTATACAATGCGAAATCGGTCGTATGGGTCATAATGCCGGCGAAAATATACCCGTCCTATGCTATGTTGATAACCCGTCGGATAAAATATTGTCATTAAGAGCTGAATTGAGACAGGAGTCGACATTTTTGAGTGCCGGCGGTCGACACGACTGGTCGGAGACACTGAACGAAACAATACCCATAACTATCCGGTCGTATACAACTGGTAGGACTTACGATATACAGGTAGCCATCCCAGTGCTGGCATCGGTAGTCCAAAATTCGTGTCCGATTATTCAAGTGAAATATCATGTACGGGTCCAGTTGGCCATTCCCGGCTTATGGATGGACTTGTTTTGTAAGCTACCGGTTATAGTTACACGCGATCAGTGTCAGTTGGCACCACCACCACCGCCACCGCCACCGCTACTACCACTACCACCACTGCATACCGTTCCTGTTAATGTTGATAATGATGATGTGGATAACAATTGTGCTGTTATTGTAAAGGCCAGACCTAATTCATCATCATTAGTATAACTATATATGATATTATACGGTATGTATGTGTGTGTGTGTGTGTATGTATGTGTTTGTGTGTGTGTGTGTGTGTGTGTGTGTGTGTGTGTGTGTGTGTGTGTGTGTGTGTGTGTGTGTGTGTGTGTGTGTGTATGTATGTATGTATATATGTGTGTGTATGTATGTGTGTGTAGTGTTTGTAATATACATCTACAGATTAATTGCAACTAATCTTTAAATTAAATCACAATTTAATCACAATGTCTACTACAGTACAGTATAATTATTAAAATAAAATTATAAAATACTTAATTATGATAAATAAATAAAAAAAAATTATAAATACTAATACTAATAATTATTATTAGTTATGTTAAATGTTTTGTTTTTCTAATTAATAATATTTTTTACCAAAAATAATTAAATAATTTATAACTGCTATTATAAACTATAACAATTTATTTATCACTGTAACTATTAAACTAAATTAAATAGTTAGCATTTTTAAAAAAAAAATTATTTTAATATATCATTTTAATAACACAATAGTAATTAGTTATTTGTATTAGATTTGAAATTTTTTCTATATCTGAATTAATATGATTTAAATTCTAAATATTTTTTAACTATTATATAAAATAAAACAAAAATTATTAGTATATATGTATAATAGGTGTCACTATAATAACAATACTTGAAGTTTATATTTACAAAAAAATAAAGTTATTAAAAAAAAAGTTAAATAACAAAAAATTTAAATATTATTTTTCATTTTTTAAAATTCATGATTATTTTATGAAATAATTACAATTTATAATAAATTAATTAAATATATAAGTATATATTATATAGAAATATAACTTATTTTATTTATTTAAAAATTATAAAATTTATTTTAAAACTCTACATATTATTTAAAATTAATTAGTATTACATAACATATACAATTTAGTAAAATATTTATTTTTTTTCAAATTTATTTATTTAAATAGCATTTAATGTATTAAAATTTAGAAAAAATTTTTTAAAAAATTGTTAATTACTTATAATAGTTTATAAATAATACTAATAAATTAATTTACTAACTTTTTATTTTTTAAAATTTACAATAATAATAATAATAATACTATGATTTCATAATTAACATTTTCAGTGCACTTAAGTTACTTATATCTGATATTATTATTATTACAATTATTTATCTATAAATTATTTATCAATGTTTTATTGAAATAATTACAGGTATTATTTCATAATAAATGTTATATATTGTAAACATTTTTTCCAGTATTATACGTAAATTACTATTATTGGTTATAAAATTATCATTTTATATTATTAGTATATATATATATATACCATTATATATTTATGTGACAAACTAGTTTAATACTTCAAAAATTAATCAATTAATTTACTAAAATAAAAGTAGAGATTAAATGATTATAAATAATACAAATAATAATATGTATATAATGTAGAGAGAGAGAGAGAGAGAGAGAGAGAGAGAGAGAGAGAGAGAGAGAGAGAGAGAGAGAGAGAGAGAGAGAGATAACAAATAACATAATAATAGTCATCACTAAACAAACCAAAAAAAATAGTATAAATAGTAAATAATTAAAAAAACAATTTATTATAAAACAATTAATCTAATAAAAAAAATAATTGTATTCAAAAAAAACTATGTCTAAACTATTGTCAATTATATCACTATCGATACTACTATTGGTTCAATTGATGGCCAACTTAAGTGGCCAACAGTTTGACGACAACATTATGACCGACATTGATGTTGAAGACATCGACATCTACGATGAGGTCCGACACTCGCGTGATTTCAACGGCAAAGTAGTACTGGTCAGCGGCTCGTCCAACGGTATCGGCGCACAAATTGTCAAACTATACTCGGCATTGGGTGCCAGTGTTGTGGTCACCGGGCGTAAGGCCGACGAGATTCATAAGACGGCACTTGTCGTACAGGAATTGTCACCGAAAAAACTTAAGGTAAGTCCCGAAAACAATACTAGTGGCCAACAATTATCGGGTAATTAATCCAACAAATAATTATTTATTTTTTCCCCCGGGGTGTGGACAGCCATTAGAATTTATAGCCGATTTGGCCAAACAGGATGATTTGGCCAAACTATTGAACGAAACTATTCGGGTATTCGGCAAACTAGATATACTGGTCAACAATGCCGGCCATTTTGAAACGGCCGGTTTGTTTGAACCGAATTTCCAGAAATCGTTAGACTATTTTGAACATATGGACATCAATGGTAATATCCAATTGTCCCGATTGGCTGCACCCTATTTGGCCAAAACCCGGGGCAATATAGTTACCATTACTACCGTTCAATTGGAGCGTATTGTATGATCGGATAATTAATTAATTTAATTATTATTAACTAATTAATTAATTATTTATTTTTTATATCAAATATAAAGCAAATCTTGCAAATGGGTTATCAAATATCTAAAGCAGCGTTGGATGTAATGACCAAAGTTTTGGCCCTCGAGTTAGCCGAACAGGGAGTTCGTGTCAATTCAGTCAGGTATGTAAATAGGATGTGTGTGAGTGTGTATGTATGTATGTATGTATGTATGTATGTATGTATGTATGTATGTATGTATGTATGTATGTATGTATGTATGTATGTATGTATGTATGTATGTATGTATGTATGTATGTATGTATGTATGTGTGTGTGTGTGTGTGTGTGTGTGTGTGTGTGTGTCTGTATGCATGTATGTGTGTATATTTGTGTTTGTATTTATGTATGTGTGTGTCTATATGCATGTATGTGTGTATATGTATGTATGTATGTGTGTGTCTGTATGCATGTATGTGTGAATATGTGTGTTTGTATTTATGTATGTATGTATGTGTGTGTTTATGATGACATAACTACAAAACATACATAATCCTAATTGAATACTACTAAACTATAACCCCCCAAAAAATATTAGTCCGGGTATTATCATTGCCCGACCCGATCTCTGGGATCCGAAGAAATCCGAAGAAATGTTCAATCATACGGCCCGACACACACCACTGGGCAGAGCTGGTCTGCCCATCGATATCGCCAAAGCTGTCGTATTTTTGTCGTCATCCGAGGCCACCTATATTACTGGCCATAGCCTGATAGTCGATGGCGGACTCAAATATAATATGGATTCAAATTTTGTTAACAAATGGTTGCGATAATTATCCGATAAAATTAAAAAAAAATAAACAAAAAATAATCACAAAATTAATAGTTAATTATTTTTTTTAAAAAAAAAGGAGTAATTAATTAAAAATAAATTTAATGATATTGTATTCAATTGTATTATTAAATATTTTATAATAAATATTATTATTATTATTGCTATTATTATTAATTTCTATACAATTATAAACAATTTATTGAATAAATTTTTATTATAATTAGTAATTAAAATAATTAATAAAAGTTTTATTTGTGATAATAATTAACAAAAAATAATTAATAAATATTAATAAAAAAAAATATTTTTTAAGTATTTTTTAAATAGATAATTAATAATAAAAAATATTCATAATTTTAAAACAACTAATTAATCAATTTTATAGTAAATTATTTGTTTTTTTTATATAAATAATTTATTAATATTTTTCATAATTTATTAACTCTTTTATTATTATTATTATTATTTTTGGTTGAATAACATATATTATTAAGATATTGATAATATCATAGATATATAAACAATTTTAATGTCAAAACCATCCACAAAAACCCACACATATAACAAAAATATTTTTATAACAATTTCTAAAAAAAACAATATATTATAGTTATAAACAATTTTGACATAATTTTGATTTGACAAACATATTGTGTATATATAAAGTCTAATCCGATTTATACTATAAAAAAAATATTTCAAGAATTTTGTTTTATTAGATATATATTCTCTCTCTCTCTCTCTCTCTCTCTCTCTCTCTCTCTCTCTCTCTCTCTCTCTCTCTCTCTCTCTCTCTATTGAGTTAATAATAATCGATTGATTGACTGAAAGTCAAAATCAAAATATTTTTGTGTTGTTTTTGTTGTTTAGATTTTTTTATACATAAAATTTTGTTTATAATTTTGTTTTTGTTTATTATTATTATTATTTAGTGATTATTAATTTTTTATAGTTTTTTTTATATAAAAATTTTATATATTAAAATTAGTATTATTTTTTTTTAATTTAATAGATTTTTAATATACAGTATATATATATATATATATATATATATATATATATATATATATACTGTATATAAATTTTATGTCTATAAATTAAGTTATCAATTTTTTATACATATTTTTTTCTAAATAGCACTTTAAATATTTGATATATTTTTTTTTGTAAGTAAAAATATTTGATAACAAATTAATTTTGATTTATGTATACTATAAATATATAATAAAAATTTTAATAAAATAATTAAACAAAATTTTTTATTAATATATATATATTTAATCTAATTTAGATTTTTTTTTAAAATGATAATGATAATTTTTTTAAGTAGGGGGGGGCTAAAATATTGATAAAAAATCCCATAATAAATATTAGATACCCGGGCGCGCGCTTATTGAGCATGAGCTATATATTTATAATATATATATATATATATATATATATATATGTTTTAAGTATGCCATACCGTTATATATATATACCCAACTCAACTTTAAGTGGCTATAGATAAAATACAGTATAACCCCATTGAACACACACACACATACATACTGTACATACATATAGCGTGAGAGTGCCGGAGCTAAAGTGTATGTACAGTATGTACTGTATGTCTGTGCAGATGATAACACACACAGTTATGTACGGAAACATTGTGTGTGAGATCTCGTTGACTGAAACTGTGAGCTCCGGTAGTTTCATATAGAGAGTGGGAAAGGGATAGTCTCAGTGATGATAGAGAGCGTGTGAATGACTGTTAGAGAGAGAGAGCACTGGTATCCCAATCTCTATCATCATCACTACCACTACTAACACCACTACCACTAAGTATTCACATTGTGTGCAGATATAAGAAATTTTTATTATTATTATTATTTCCAAAAAAAACTGGGAACTAATTTAATAGTATATATTGTTTTTATTTTTATTTTTTCGGGGAACTGGTATTTATTTTTTTTTGCTACTACTAGTGTGCTATACATACATACCTATATATATATATATATATTTATATATATATATATACTGTATATAAAATAAATGCCAATTCCTATGTGTGCAACACTACTACTACTATTTAGTTGATTCACTGATAGATTGATTGTGTTTTATGTATATATATACTGTATATATATAGTACCTAAATGTGTGTTTGTGTGTATATATAATATATATATATATATAAAAGTGTTATATTATATGATTGTTATATTAAGTGTTATATATGTGTGTAAATCCAACCAAACAAAAGTGAAACAAACATAACACACACACAATATTTTTTGATTAAAACTTTTTTTAGATTTTAGAAAATATTATTTTTTTTATATCTTAAATAACTTTTATAAAATAAAATAAAATCTTACAATTACTTTACCAATTGTTTGTTATATTTTATGTGTTCAATGGGTACTATTAAACAACATAATAACCAATACTGTATAATACAAACAATATATATATAAATTTATATAAATATATATATATATATCATAACGTGTTGTGAATTTAATCTAATTTATTGTGTGTATGAATCAACACTTTTTTTTACTAATACAGACACAAAAAATAAGATAATAATAATAATAATAATAAAAACTTAACACAATTTTGTGGCCAAATATAACAACTGAAATAATAATAATAATATAAATAATAATAATAATAGCAACAAAATAAAACAACTATAAAATACAATAAATCAACTGTAGGTATAATATATATTATATTTATAATACTATAAATACTGTTTAATTTATATACTATCCGATAATAACTAATAATAATAATTAATAATTTATTTTATACAAAAAAAAATAGTTTATATCTATAATTGTAATTGACTTTTATTATTATTAATATCATTATTATTAGTGAACACCTATTTATATATATGTAATAATAATGAATTTAATTTTAATGGCAATATAAAACTATTATAATATTTAACTTATTATTATTATTATTGAAAAAAAATTATATTTGTGTATAACAACTTGAATAATAATAATAATTATTAAAAAAAACTTATTGATTAATATCCAAAAATTGTTAAAATAAAACCTAATAACTGATTAATAATTAGACATAAAAAAAATTGAATTAATTTTTTTTATTAATTTAATTACTGCTTATATTAGACTGACCACCCATACAGGTGCCGCCTGTATTATACAGGAATCAAGGGTCTAATACAGGTGACAGGAAAGGGCTAACCTGTATAATAAAATATACAGTTTTAAAATATGTAAAACTAATTGATTAATAAAAGTATAAAATAACTATGAATTAAGTTTTGTTAGTTTTGCTTGTATTGCTTGTTGCTTGCTTGTATTTTTAATATACAGTTTAAATATTTCAAATATTTTTTTTAAATATAAAAAATTTATAAATATTTGTAAAATTGTTCATGTTCAATATAAAATAATTTCAACTTTTTATATAATTATAGTATCTAAATTAAATTTATTTTAAAGTATTATAAATATATACGAATATATAGTTATTTAAGTACAGGTTAACATACAGGAATATAATATTTAATATACAGGAAAATACAGGTGAAAATAATAATTTTATACTATTATACAGGTTTACTAATAAATTGGGTGGTCAGTCTAGCTTATATATATATATAAATCTTATTTTTTTCATGACATCACTAACACCAGACACTAATTATTATCACTAATAATAATAATAATAATAATAATGACATTAAAACTTGTTAATAGAAATATTGTGTCTTTCATTTAGTTTTCGGCTAATAGACTACTAAACACAACAACAACAACAACAACAACAACATAACCACTACTACTACTAGTACTACTACTACTACTACTACTACTACTACTACTACTACTACTACTACTACTAATACTAACTAATACACTAAAAGGACTGATTAACTAATCAATTGTTGGCTTACTTTTGGTAGCTTTTTATCTATATATATACACACAATATATATATAATCATCATTACTATCAGCCCAGGGAGCTAAAGGGTTATATAGTTGAGGACTAACCCCATTATCGGCTAAAATCAAATAGATTTTTGTTTGGATTTTATGGATCTATAGATATATATATATATATATATCTCTCTATCTAAAGCACTGGTAGTTATTGGCAATCAAATCACTAGTGTATCTGATGTATAGACTTATTATTATTATTATTATTACGGAAGCCATATAACACCCAATCACTTATTATTATTTTTTATTTGATGGCAAAAATTGTATGTCTATTGTTATGCGGCATAACTATTGGTAAGTACTGTATATAACTTTTTTTTTATATAATACTTAATATAATGTAATATAATTTAATAAATTTTGTTCAAATTTTTAAAATTTTTGATTTAATAATTTTATTATATATATATGTTTAATATTTAAAATTATAATATAGACTAATATTAATGGTGTTTTTTTATTTATTATTATATTAAGTTTACAATTTATATCACAAATATAAACCATATAAATACATAAAATTAATTTTAAACAAATACATAATTTTTTTAATTATAAAATCTATTAATAACCAGTTAGTACTAAATTAATTATTAAAAAATCACAATAAATTTTTAACTTTTAACGTTAATTTTTAACAAAAAAATTATTATTATTCTATACTATTCAATAAAAACTAATTTCAATATAAAAAAAATTAATTTAAATTCAATGTAAAATCAGATTTATTAAATCAGATTTTTTTTAAACGTATACAACAATACATTATTAAATTTATTGCTTTTAATTTTATTTTATATACATATGTTATAATCTGTATAATAATAATAATAATAATAATAATATATGTGATTTAAAAGCAATTTTTTTAACAACAATAACAACAACAAAATAATATATTTTATATAGAGTTTAGTCTATATTTTTTTTGTTGGTTGTATTTATATACAAATTTCTATTATTATTATTATTATTATAAGCCATTACATCAATGATTTAATACTCAAAAAAAAAAATAAAATATAAAAAAATAAATTGCATTCAAATTTATGC